CAGAAACCAAGCTTGGGCTACCTGTGGTCCATTGCGTTACAAGTCGATTAATTGTTTAAAATGGTTAATTTACATATTATATCGCGACATCATTGACTAACCTAATAAATTTACGCTTATTATTTCACYTTCTCATTTGAAGTGCTCATATCAGTGCTCATATTTATTGATGCACTTGCCGTGAATAAGAAGAAAATTTAGCCAAAATAGAATATTTTGATAAGATTTTTTAAGAAAAACGTAAAACACTTTCAAACGTTTTCTATAACATAAACGGAGTTCATGTAATATTTCAAAGCCTCCAATGTCGGACTTGACGCGATTTCAAGTCCAAGCAATTAGTTCCAGTCCGAGGCGCAACTCGAAATCCCGKCCAGTCCGATATTGGAGGCTTTGAAATGACTTCTCATGCTCATTAGTTATTCGACTTGGAGTAGCTGGAACAAAATTAATTCAGTCCTATAGGAATTAGGAATATAGAATTAATTTTGTTCCAGTTATTTCAGACTGAATTCAGTCCTTTCAGAGGACTTTACCAGGTTTCAAGTAACATCATGTCACCCAAAAATAGCCCAGTGATTGGCTGGTTTCCTCATKCATTATTAATAAGTATGAGAAGGAATATTTAYGATTCATGCAAGGTTATTGCAGACAATACAAATAGAATTACTAATTTTTTWAAATATATATTCTTGTCTGTTATTTTCGTTGCAAGACTGACGGCCTTCAGCGATTTGGGTTTTTTCCAAAAAAAGTTTTTTTTTCAAAAAAGGCTTTTCAAGGAAAATATTTCTGCAAAACAAGGAGCGAGATTGATTGAAAAGTTTTTGAAATTTTATTTACTCTTCCGTGCTGAGGTCACAGTTGGAGATGACTGACCCTTTTGTTTCGATCTAGTATTTGTCTAGGAACTATTTATTCGAAAACTGTGAAATAGCTCTCGTTCGTACTGAATTTCTATTGGACAAGATGTTTACTTTGTTTATGCGTAGCATTGAGGAAATAGCGACTGACGACTGAAACGAATTATAACAAAAGCCCGTATACAGAATTAGAGGTTCATTATTCGTTTCGGGTGCGAGGAGGTTCGAAAGTTTAAACCTCTCTCTTGGGATTGATCGTTATGGCTGAATTGAACTCGAGAGTGTACGACTTTAAAACTTTCATCGATGAATATCCATTGCCTCAAATCGTCAAAGTCATCGAAGGAGTTTATGGCAATGAAGACGAATTGAYTCTGTCAGCTCTCGAAGTGGTTCACCTGCACATGGTGAAAAACTGCGACACTGTTAAAGCCACAGATGAAAGAAATCGCGAATTCTATKTACCATTAAATTCACCAGCGAAGGTAAAGGTGCTCCCGAATCCAATCTATCAGGAATTTTATGATGATGTACTAAAACTGGCCGAAGATTTCCCGACTTACGTCGAAGCATGTGATGATGATTCTGAATTAAACATTAAAATGGGAGACGTGCTAAAATTAAAAAGGCTCACCACAAATCCACACGATGATAACTATCTAATCTGCGAGTGCACAAACAAAGAAAAACGAGAAATTTTGATTCCATTTTCGTACCGAGCGAARTTCAAGACACTCGGGGACTTTGAACATTCTGTTTTGTTTCTCAAGGAAGTTGTTGCAAAGACACCACACTTTCCCGTTTTGGTGAAGTTTCAGGACAACTTGTTGAAAACGAGTAGAAGAGATATCAATGCTGGCTGCCCTACAGGATTTAATCAATTAGGAGCATTTTCTCTCAAGGAAGCGTTTGTTATGAAGCTGGTGGTTGCTACGTCGTGTGGCGCTAATCACGGAAGTAAGGAGCGAACTCTGCTCACAATTCCCCACGATCTAGACATCAGAGTAATTCCAGTTTTGGACAAGAGCGAACGAAGCGCTTACCAGACTGAAAAACTCTGTCGAATTGGAAGTTTTAAGATAAATTTTAATGAAACAAGCTTCAGATATGGCTGTAATTTTATAAAAAAGCAAGAATGTTCTCTACTTAAACAAGGCAATACTAGGAAACCGATTCCAAGATYTCGAAATCGCGTGACACCTGACATGACAGCTACGTCTTCGGGAATCTGTGACGACAAGCAAACAGTAAATGACAGCTGTGYTTTCAGTAGTTGTCTTGACGATGAGACGGAAAAGAAAGGGACTTGTGCTGATGATATTGACGAAAGCGCCAAAACCACTACTTTAATMAACGAAAAGGAAGATGTTTATGTAGATATGAGCTTCTGCAAGGATATAACACCAGAAGTTAACTTTGGTGAATCGGAATCACTCAAACAGCAACAAAGTAAGAAATATGAGGCTACAGCTGCTGCTTCTGGTAATGGTACTGGTACTGGTACAGTAACTGCTGMTGMTGATGATAATGATGAGGAAGATGGTGGCGGTCATGGTCGTGATAGCAGTGGTAGTGACRATGGGAAGGATGGACACCTTGCAAAAAGTAACATTCCTCCATTACAATTTAACAACTCTCGTGAYATYACCGAAGAGACAAATGATTATGACGAAGTCCCAGTCAAACAGAGTCAATCAGCGAGTCGCCCCACATCCATAGTCAAGAACCTTAGATACGATACTAATGATAATGTGTTCCAGAGTGGACATGGTCACCTTGGTCTTCCTCCTTTTGTCCCAAAACAACCAAGCCGTTACTCGTACAAGACAGATACAGAAGAAGGAGAAGAAGAAGATGAAGAAGGAGAAGGAGAAGGAGAAGAAGAAGAAGAAGAAGAACAGAACCAGGAGAAATATGTATGCATGACAAAAGAAGTTGGAGCAGGAAACACAATCGTTCATCTTGAAGAGGGCCGGAATGGAAAGAAACCCCTTCGACAGCTAAGCGATTTGGGGCCGTCCATTTCGTCTGATTCCGGATCTTCAGCAACATCTTTCCCTCTCTACGATGTTCCACCTTCAATTTCTCAAAGCACGAAAAAAACGAAGAGCAAAATACGTAAAAAAATTGAAAATCTGAAAAAGATATCACGAAGTGCCTTGAAGAGATCCAAGTCTACCACTGACATGGAGAGCTCTGTGGACTACCATTACGTTGAACCCATTTCAGAGGCAAAAGCTGACAAACAAACAGACATTGCGAAATTTCTGTCTCGTTTGCAAAGGTCGAAGGAGCAGGGAGGCAAGGACTTTAGTYCCGTGGACTATCTTAGTACGCTGACAGTAGATGAAGTGTCAGAATCTCTGAAAAACCTTAATTTACATAGATACGTCGAGACATTTAGAGCAAATACTGTAGATGGGAGCTTGTTGATGGATTTAAATGATAAGATGCTGGATGAACTAGAGGTGACGAGCGAGATTGATCGCTTGAAAATACGGAAATTGCAGACGCAAGGATGGACTCCAAAGTACCAATAAGTCAAGTAATTAGCCTTGCCTTCAATAGCGCCTTTCACATTTCCCTGCGCCATCTTGAAAGGTAACCGTACCTTTGCATCGAAGCGAGACGAACGGTAAGCTTGCAATGATAGAGACCTTTTTTTAACACCTTGAACAATTATTCACATGTCTCTATCATTGCAAGCTCACCGTTCGTCTCGCTACGATGCAAAGATACGGCTACCTTTCAAGATGGCGCAGGGAACTGTGAAAGGGACTATTGACCTTTCCTGGACTTCCCTGAATGACCATAAGACGATGGCTCCAAGTCGAAGTAGGACTTGATGTGTTCATGCATACATTTAATGTATTTTATCAAGTTCAACCCTAAAAGCCATTGTTTCGTGGTTACTCAGGTGAATTCGAGAAGAATTTGCAAGACCTTACATTACAATTCTGTCTGAAATAAGGTGAGACTATGTATGAAAATACCTCCAGCCTCGCTCCCATGGTCGTTTCCTTTCTCTTTACGAGACTGGGAAAGAAGCTATCTTGCCCATGAGGAAAAACGGGCCAAAAAGGTACTGTGCACCTGCTATTCCCTTGAGTAGGATTTCTTTCCTTTCCCTTTTAATATGGATGCAATAAATAAGGAATCCTATTCCCAAGAGATTTGCTGGGAATGGTAAATCCTTATGTTCAAATTGAATGAGAATCTAAAGACAAGAATGGAAGGGAAAATCTACATAGCACTTAGTTAATTCAGAAAAAGATCTATTATATCCCATTGTCGTTCTATTTATTGCATTAGGTCCGATTCATAGTATTTTTATGAATACATTCACATCAATTGCGTCCTATATAGGCTCTTCCATTAATGGAATGTCCAGTGCACCTCAACTTTTGTTTATTCTCATAAGAGTAAAAGCCGGTTTATTGTTTTGTCCTTTAAATAACAGATATTAAATAATAAATAATAAAAATAAATAAACAAAAATAAATTAGATTTAGCAGTGGAATTTCCACAGAGTAGCTCTTCATCCACCGAAATTCCAATTGAAATTTAAGAGTTGATTTTTAGATTTACTCTCTAACTATTGCCTTCAAACACTCGTTTTGAGTAGAGGCATTTGGGTTAAGGTTAATACAAAATGAAATGTATAGAAACTGACCGCCCAAATGCAACAATGGCAACAGAGTAAATCTAATAAAATCTGCTATTGGGCCAACATTGGGAATATTCTCAGCAAGCAGAGCAAGGGGTCTATTATTGGCGTACATCACTTCCCCCAAAAATAAGAAGACAAAAGACGTGGCCGCCATGTTGATTGACATGATGAGAGACAATTAAGTCGACCAAAATGGCGGCTATGACGTCATATGTACTCCTGAATTGCTAGTTTTCATAGCCACCAGGTTAGTCATATATTCATACACAACAGTTTCTTTCCTTGTTTCATGGCCGCCGTATCTTTTGATCTGTACTTTTATTTTATTAGGAATAATTGCAAATCGACTATAGAGGTTTTGCTCGAACACGTGATTGCAGCCATGTTGGATGACATTAAAATTGATACGTTTTGCCGGCATTTAAAAAGTTTATCTTCTAAAGAGAAAAAGATATTATTGTTTTGTTCTTGTTTTATTTTGTCTAATCGTTGATTTTACAAACGCAGAATTACGTGCAATACAAAAGCTATAAAACCGAACTGAAGGAGGCCACGAGCCCAAAACCTAGACCCTAATATCTAAGAACAAATATCTTGTGAGGGGTGGGGGGGCCTTACAAGAAGGACAAATGTCTCATGGAGGTGGGGTAAATAACAAGTCTAATAGACTTGGTCTTCTCTCCAAACACCGTGGCGTGCTAAGCATAAAATCCCAAATAAAATGTGAATGCAGTGCGATGCAGAGGTGTAGCAATTTACTCCACAAAATCCACAGAAATCCCACATGAATTRATTTCATTTTGATATGACGAAACAAACTTGTTTTGGAAGGGCGGCACGTGCCTGAGATGATACTCACCGTAACCATGCCAACCACCACGTGTCAAAGCCATTGTAATAGTAATGGTTAATAGTCTCGTTGAATGAATACTAAGTACCCAGTATTGCCCGGAGGGCACTAACTTATCTCATGGAACTTTCTYGACCCCTGACGTGTTTGGTATTCTGCAAGGTTGTTTTAATGATTTTAGTGTATTGAGCTCTTGCCGTTCGATTACAAATAATAATATTTGTAATCTCTGCTCCTTTTTCGAACTGGTTCTGTTGTACTTCAATTCACTGCAAGTAGGTATGCACCTATATCGTTATCTTCGTTGTATATGTTCTGTGTTATCGATAGTAATTTATCAATAGCGTCTTAWGGGTTATGATATTTATCGATAACTTTGTCATCGGGAGATGAGACCTTTTCAGTGTTATCATTCAAACTTAACTTCTAGTGATAACAATATGTAGAATTCAAAACGAGTGTATAGTAGAAAATAGGCACATGAGATTATAGCAATATACCAAATTAGGAGACTAAGAATATTTTTCAAAGAAGCGAACATAGTCTATAATCTGCGAGGTTACTGCAAGCATTATAATTTCTGGATTATAACTAATAATTTAGGGCTGTATTTTGATAAATATCAAGATACCAATACCTGTGATAGCTCAGTACACGAAATAGRAAAGGCATAAGAAATGATGCGAAAGGTTTAGCTAGGAAAAGACATGTGACTTGCTAATATTATGAATTATGTCAAGAGGGAATGGCTGCAGGACTCTGGCAGGAACAGAGCATGTTTATCTTCAAGTGAAACAATAGTTTAACATCCTATATTTACAGATATAAAGCAGATTAGTATTATATGATTACATGCGACCCTTGTTCGCCTTATTTAGTTCAGTAAAACATGTTTTAATTATCCAACTCGAGCAATACGATATATAACACTCATGGTTTCCGGGTAAAAATTCCCAAGGAAAAGAAYAGTTTCCATTTCAGTCATGACTAATCTAGAAATCATCTCAGTCTGAAGAAATCAACTATCTGATTATTTATTTTCTTTGTCGGTATTTTCTTGTAGTTCGTCTGGGCACACAAAGCTTGTGTTGTTTCAATGTTTGATGAATATATAATGTTAAATATGTTGATTCTCTGTGGGGGRACGATTCTTGTCCTCGCTGCTGGAGATTCCGCTTCAAGATTCTCCACTTCACTAACCAAGCWATAAGAGGACCAAAATGATAAACCCTATCAATTAGTACCTCCGTTTTCTTATCATTATCACATCTTTTTAAAATATGATGAGATATCACTTTACAAAAGGTTTGTTTTGACATTAGACAATTCATCCCTACCCCTCCATGGTGTGTTTTGATAGAGGACAGCACTTGGTGTCCTGTAGTGACGGTGTCGCGCTTTTCATTGCAAGAATTATTGAGATATTTTATAAACAGTGACTTTAGAGTAAGGTTAAACATAGTGCATGTGTTGGTATCTGTATACCTTTTATGATACGTTGGTGGATCGTCTTTATACGCAGTAAGAGGTTATTATTGAACCGGGCGAAGTTAAATGTTC